CTGGCCGCCCTGCCTGAGGAGAGCGGCCCACACGGAGCGTTAGCCTCGCGTTGAGTCCTCATCAGTCGGCGCGCTATGCAGATTTCGATAGAACAAACACCGCATGGTGCGGTGCGCCGGCGTCCGGCGGGATGCGCGCGTCGTCGGATTGCGCATTGTCCGAGGCTCGGTGCTGCTGCTGCTGCTGCCCTTGGCGTGGCGGCCTGCGGGGCGCCTGCCTGTGCGGGGACGACGCCGTCAGTGCCGCAGGACGTGCTGGGCACTGCGAAAAATCAGCCACCAACTTGAAGCTTATTGTCAACTGGCGACGTTGTTTTTTTTTGCAGTATTTTTTGTATTTCCAGTAATAATGAGGAGCAAGTCTGGCGGAAGTGCTTCCCGATTAGCGGTTGTTGGAGCGGCTGCCGCCCCTCTGCCCGGCCGTGACCATACAGAGTCGGGGACCTCTCCGGCGCGGTTCAAAGCAGCGTGACGTAATTCGCGGACAGCTGAGCGGCTCAGCCTGAGCCAGCCAGAGCGAGCCAGAGTCCAGCTGAGCCGCCCCGGCCGGCCCGGGCTGGGAGCGCGGGCCTGCCATGGGGCCACCGTGCCGCTCGCTGGCGGCCGCGGCCGGCACTTTCACGCCCCGCCCCGCCCCGCCCCGCCACGGCAGCGTGTGAAGATGCAAAGCATGACCCGACCGGGGCCAGTCCACTGGTCCACTGCAGCAGGGGCAGGGGCGGGGTGAGGCGGAGCGGCCGGCCAACTGGTTCATCGACCGGACTGCGCGACCGGATTGCCTCGCCACGCCCCGCCCCGCCACGCCCCGATAAACTCCGGAGACGGGATGGCGGCCGGCGGCGGCGCTCTGCGTCCCGGCCACCGTAGACTTCTCGTCTTTAAACCTTCGCCGTCACGCGGAGCGAGAACTTTTAACACATTCCAATCAGGAAATTGACTCCTTCCTTCCCCGACGCCCATCCCCCCCTCCTCCCCGCCCTATATTTTCAAATAGTTGCGAGGCGGGTGCACTTGTGTGCGTGTGCCGCCCGCCCCGCCTGCGGGCCGCTGCGTGCTCTTCTGAACCCAGGAAGTGCATATGGGGCGCGGCCGAGACGGGCCGGCCCGGGCCGGGCCCGGGGTCGATAAGTCGTTTCCTCGACTTTATCGCGATGGCGGGGCGCGGCGGGGCGGGGCGAGGCGGGGAGGGGCGGCGCTGCATCGCGTGTCGCGCTACTGGAGTCGTGTAATTAGCGCGCGCGGGGCCGGGCCGGGGCCGCCAGGTGCAGCCTCCAGCGCGGCGCAGGTCGGGTCGCGCAATGACGTCGACCTCGCGCGCTGCTGGAGCCCACCCCGCCCCGCCCCGCCCCACTATACCCCACACCTCCGCGCACCCTGCCGCCGTCAGTCATATCGACGAGGTGGTGGTTGGTGTGGTACTTTTCCCCGCCGCGCCTTTCGTTTGCTCTCCCGCCAATAACAAAGTCGTTAATGGCTGCTCTCCCCCGGGGCAGTGTGTGTGTGTGTGTGTGTGACTGGCCCCGCACAGCGATGAACGGCTTGCGCAATGTAAACACACAGTGCGCCCCCTCCCCCTTCCCTCCCTCCCCTCTCCTCCCCTCTCCACGGCCTCACGCCGGCAGCGCACGCGGAGCCGCCGCCGCGGAGCTCACGCCGGCCCGGCCCGGATGCTGGCAAAGCTCAGTGATGATGCGCTGCTCTCCTCCTCCTCCCCGCTCCCCCTCCCTCTCCCTTCCTCTCCATCACGCTGCCCATGTGGGCCCTCTGGGTGGAGGAGGAGGGAGGGAGGGAGAGGAGGGAGGTCGTCGGCACATCCGCGACCACGCACGGGGGACCGTCGTTAAGCACGGCCCGCGGCACGCCATAGCCTGTCACTCTGAGGCAGCTTCCCCTCTCCCCTCTCTCTCGACCGGGAGCAGCAGCACGCCTCTCGTCGTCGCGGACCTCCCCGCCGAACTCCTCTCTCGCGCCTCTCTCTTCCTGCTCGACGACGGGGCCATCTCGATGGAGGGCGAGATGATCGATTGATTGTTGCTGCTGCTGCCGGCGCGCGTCGCGTTCCCGTCAGGTAGCGCTCCCGGGGCGGGGCGGGGCGATAGTGCCTGCTGATAGCGGTCGCCGCCGGGCCCGCCCTCCACGCCGATAAGAGTGGTCGGGGCCGCGGGGCGTCCAGCTGTGCGGGGGTGGCGGAGCGGGGGGCGGGGCCCAGTGTTTGTTCGCTCGTTGGCGCCCCATTCTTCGATTGAAGGTAGAAAGTGAAGTGCAAAGGCATTTCCCACACGCTCCGCTCGCGGCTCCGACCCGAACCATTGATGACGAAACACTATCGCGCCGCGGTGCTTGGCGCTGGCGCGACGCTGGGCTGGGCGGCTGGAGGCTGGGGGTTGTCTTTCTCTCTCTCGCTCTATCGGCCGGCCGGACCTGTCCTGCGGCTCTCCATCAGTCGATATATGAGATGAGATGCAAAGCCTTTGCCAATGCGTCCTCCGCTTTTACCCCCTCCGGGCGAACTCAACCGCCGCCGCCACCACCAAACTAACCGCGGCAAAAAAGAACGTGACGGCGGCGCCGGCGCAAGAAAGTGTATACATTAGATAGAACGAAAAAATAAAAAGGGGGAAGAAATTAAATCCGGCTCCCGCTGCGGGCGAGCTACGCGGAACTTGTCGCTCGTCGTAAACGGCGATACTTTAGACGAACGTTGCCATTTATTGGCTGACTTGACTTTAGCGGTGTGACGAGGCGAGACCTCTGTGTTGCGCGGTGCCGCTGCGCAGCTGGGCTCTGGCGGGCCGAGGGCGTGCCTCGGCATGACGCTGCGGGCGGGACGTACGTGGCACATTATTACGTCTGCAGCAGCCTGTCTAAAGTTTTAAAAATTTAACGGTGAAACTTGTTGACCACTTTTGTGATTATTTTTATTTTCCATTTCGGGATCGCTTCGAGAAAGTATGCCCGTTTTTCTCAGATCCGTTCGGGAAATTACGGGAGGTCAGCGCCTGCGAAACTCGGGGTAGGCCACCCCGCAGTACACGCATGCGCGCCAGGACAGAAGTTGCCTACCCGTCAGGCGCTTTGAGAGCTTGCAGATGCTGGACGAATGACGGACGTATTTTCTTGCTCTTGGTTTCCTGTGGATCGACGTCGGAAAAGATACATATCGAAGAAGACATTTGTTTTGAATTTGTAGCATCTGCTTTCACAATCCGTTCTTTAGTCGGAACCTTTTTTTGCGCGCCGTCACTGGGCCTGCGCGCGGGGCGCACACCTCTAGACCCCTTTCTACCGGCGCCGTGCCGGTGTGCCCCCGTTGCGCAAACGATGACCCCATGCCCTGGTCCAGAAAGAAAAATTGGATAAACACGAAGCAGAGCGCTGAAAGGGCGGAAGATTATTTTTATTTTTATTTTTTTTCGTACAGAAGAGGAGGGGCCGTCGTTATGGGGGCGTGCATTATGCAACGGGGATGACTCGGGGACCCTGAGGGGACAGGACAGGGGGGCCCGAGTGGGTGGCGCGCGCGCGCCGAGCCCGCCTGGCCCACTGCCCTCACTGAGGCCCTCATACCGCCCCTCTATGCGCTTGCCTGTATGTGTGCGTCGGGGAGGTGGTGGGGATCCGAGAGCGGAGCATACACGACCCTTCGTCCCTTCGTTGACCTGGGCCCCTCTCGGGCCGCGCAAATGTTTGTCGTCGGCGTATATGACCCCCCCCCCTACTCCACTCTTAGTTTTGAAGTGCGGGGACTTTTCTTCTCGGATCTCGCCCACACACACCCCTCATCGGCTGTGCCTGCGTGGAACGCAGAGAACGGTTTCCAGCATAGACTGCTGGTTCTCTAGCTGGGCTCAGTGGTGTCCTTTGTGCGTCGTTACCTGAATGTTAACTGCCCCTGAGAGTGCCGCCGCTGCTGCTGCCGCCGCCGCCACCGAGAGCATATTTCTCCGGACAATGAGTTTCTGAGAGCGTTCGGTTTCACTGGAGGCAGAGCGGGGCTAGCCTTGGGACCGACGCACCGCACCGGGCCGGGCCGCTGGCTGACTCCGTTACCCACAACACTATGTGAATTTATAATTAGCTCTGATTTATCACGTCTTATTGTCTGCCGAGGCAGTTTTTGTCGTCGCCCGTCACAACATATA